ACAGATTAGTAGTGAAGAACAACGCAGACATTCCCAGAGGGAAAAGGAGAGGAGGGAAAGGTCAAAGTTCTGATTCATCAACTAATGCTGGATTTGTTTTTTGTTTTTTGTTTTTAAAGATTTTTTTTTATTTATTTGACAGAGAGAGACACAGCGAAAGAGGGAACATAAGCAGGGGGAGTGGGAGAGAGAAGCAGGCTTCCCGCTGAGCAGGGAGCCCTATGTGGGGCTCGATCCCAGGGCCCTGGGATCATGACCTGAGCCAAAAGGCAGACGCTTAACGACTGAGCCACCCAGGTGAACCCTAATGCTGGATTTGGAAAAAAACACAGGAGCTCTAAACTTTAAAGGGCAAATAATACTATCAAAAATGTATATATTTTAGTTGCTATCTAAAATTTAATCAATTAACTTGAAAATTTTCTTCATTTAAAAATATTTTTATTAAAAATTAGGGGCGCCTGAGAGGCTCAGTCGGTTAAGCATCTGCCTTCAGCTCAGGTCATGATCCCAGGGTCCTGGGATGGAACCCCACATCAGGCCCCCTGCTCTGCAGGAAGCCTGCTTCTCCCCTCCCTCTGCCAACCGCTCTGCCTACTTGTGCTCGCTCTGTCAAATAAATAAATAAAATCTTAAAAAAAAAAAAATTACTGTAGAAAACAATGAAAAGACAAAAATAGTCCCTGAGTAAGCTGATTCCAGTGGGGATCAGACATTAAAATAAAAATTTCGTAAGTGAAGCCAACCAGGATGAGTTTGGGAGCTCAGTAACCCGACCAAAGGAGAGGAAGGTCAAGGTAGGCTTCCAGAGGAGATGATGCTGGAACAAAATTCCGAGAGCAGTCATTATCAAGCAAAGAATGCTTCAGGAGAAGGAACAGGACATATGAAGGTTGAGTCCGGTGAGACCCATTTATGGAACCGAAGAACGATCAGAACAGTAGGTGGATGGTCAAAGCAGCGGTAAGTGTGACACGCCGGACAAGAGACCACGCACTGACCCTGAGAAGTCCTGACGGCGACCAGGGAAGGGAGAGCTGGGGTAGGCAGGCAGGTGCGAAGGTTGGGACTTAGAAAGGGACAGAGTGGTTTGAGGAACCCTGCCTGCAAGCACGTCGAGGAGGGGGTGTCCGGATCCGGATGCCAGCGGCTTGGCCCTGGAGCGACCCTACGAAGGAGCCCGGGCGGGCGGAGCGAGGACCCACGAGCTGTCAGTCGGCCCCACGGCGCCCTCGTATGCACTCTGTTGACGCCTGTTTCTGCCCGGATCTTGAGCTCCCGAAGGGCGCGGGCTGGGGAAGTTCCCGGGCTCCGGCGAGCACTTCGGCATCGTGGGGAAGGGGTCTGGGGTTGTCAAATGACTCTTCTGCCGTTCCAGGTTGCCGAAGGAGCCCAGTAGTCTGCCTGACGTCTCCCCGGAGGCCTTGGGCTGCAGGGGGGCCCGGCCGGGCCCAATGCTCGGGGGCCCTCGGTCGCCGGGTCAGGGCGGGGCGGGGGGTGGGGG